CAAGCTCGCTCAGCAGTTGCCTCCAAGAGTGGCCTGCTGGCTTCGAAGCGTGGACTGGCCAAGGCGATTACGGCGGCGCTTCGCAGGAGAGAACATCGCCTGCTGCCAGTCCTGCAGGCACCATCTGGGCATCGATCTACCGGCGGGCAAGAGGCTTGGCGGATCAACGCAGAGGCAACGCGTGGTCAAATCGAGTCAACGGCACGCTAAGATGTCCAGGTGGGCACGAGCGAGTTCAAAGTACAAGGTCATGCCCAAGCTAGGGAGAGTGAGTGCGCAGGCTGTAGCATAATACGGTCATCAAGTGTTCGGCATGCTAGGAGGTGACGTGCATCGCCTACGAAGCAGGCTTGCAGCAGTTCGCGGGGCTAGTAAGCGCGGGAGGTGCGCGACCACCACCTTAGACCTGCGGACGCCAGGCCAGGATCCAACAAACAAGCTCGGGCGCGAATGCCTGACAGAGTGGCTGAAGTTGTGGGCGACGGACCGTGCAATCAGGCCATCAGCGCATAAGCCTTGGGCAGCGGTTGTTGGCAAGTTACGAGCGATGGACATCGCAGAGAGACCAAGACACGTTCGTGGGCCTATGAGTGCTGCCATCACAGTTCTTTTATACTACGGATGGAGTCCAATCGCGCCTTCGCGATAGCATCTTCCAGGTGACGGGTGCAATAGCGAGGACATCGAGCGGTCGCTTCCTGGCGACCAGCTCACAGAAGCTGAGGATCTGGCAGATCTTCTCGACGATTTCACGACATCGGTTCAGAGGGCTCTTTGGCACGGCGCGGCCATGTACTACCGCGGAAAAGGAGCAGCTGAAGGGGTATATCATCAATCGTACTGGTAGTTGCTCCAGTCGCTGGCGGATGCTCCAAAAGGTCACGCCGTGACGGAGCTGATGCTGGCGACCGCAGTCGGAGGTACCTGGCCACGAATACGTCTCATGGCGGAGGTCCAGGAGGCGGATTCTCAACTTCGGTGTTGCCCTCAATGTTACGCCGTCGGGGACATCAATGTGGAGGCACCGCTTCATAGGTGCTGGACAGGCCCGCGCAATACAAACAAGCAAGCATATCAAGATTCAGATGGCCCCAACCCTGAGGCCATGGCTCAGCATGAGCTATGTCCAACATTTTGGCTGAGGAGGCTCATACCGCGTGTGTGGACAACGACTCCTCAGTCAGTCACGGAAGAGCGATGGGTGTTTGATGGTAATATGATGAGTGGTGTTGGGGTTCTGGACGAGGGCACTTTCGATGAGCCTATCCTCATCTGCGGTGATGCCAGCGGGGGCCCTGACACCATCAGCGGAGAGTGGGAGCGGCGATCGTGAAAGTTCTTGCCAAGCATCCCTTTCGAGCGGGTGCAACAGGCAAAATGACTCCCCCAGGAAGGCGCCAAACAGTTTTTCGAGGAGAGCTAGCCGCCTTGGAGGCGGCCATCTGCATGACACTCGGATGGTTGATATATGATACCGACAACTTGGCGGTCGCGGAAGGATGGACAAATGAGCAATTCCTACGCCCACGATCTGCTGCCAACGACGTCGGCATTTGGGCAAATATTGGCCAGCATCTGCACGGTACTGACCGGGCCGCTCATGACGTGGCCTGTTCAGCAATTCACATCTTTCGGACGAGCAAGCCAGCGAGCAGCGAATCCCCACATGGATGATCGAGTGCAACAAGCTGGCAGACACGGCGGCAAGAGATATGGCGCTGGCAAGTCGGCTCCCTCAGGAGGTCGGATGTCGCATTGCCCAAGCTGAGCACAACTCAGTACTTGTTCGAAGGAGATTGTTGCGTGCTCATATGGATGCGATCGCTGCCGACTCTCGGCAGACCAGCGAGGGGAGAAACAGACATCATCGTCCTCCGCCTGCCCCCAAGGTTGTGGCCCAATTGTGCTCTCAACAGGTTCTGAATGATAGCGGTCGCCTTCGCACTGTGTGAGGGGCTCGGCCACACAAGAAGCTCTCGGTGGTTGGTTGCGAACCCCGTGTTGTGAACTGGAGCCCGTCGGCAAAACCCTTTTTTAAGGTGCCTGCCCAAAAACAACTACATTGTGCTGGGGTGGGTGGGTTCATAGCTCTCACACGCTGTTTTACCATAGGAATCTTCACCTGTGACATTGTGGTGTTTGTGGGTATTTCGCCAATGCCCAACTTCGGACCTTGAAGGGGAGATGTGGAGGGCGCCCCACGGACACCACCCGAGAGCACTTGTCCAAGATCGGCTATGGCCTGTGGCCAAAAAGTTCTCCCTCGGAGAGGGCGGGAAGCAAGGGGCCGCGATCCACCCGAATGCATTTATAACGCGTCGCGTTTTCACCAGTTCCAGTTCCAGTTGCCTCAAGACTGCCCAAGATGGCGTCAAGACGGCCCACGAGGCTGTCGAGGCGTCCTAAGAAAGCCTCGAGAGCCTTCCCAAGAAGGCTTTGAGAGGTCACCAGCACTGATACCCCTTAGCTATTTCACTGTTTGGTTCTAGTTCTCGCCTTTGTGAACTTCCGACGTCCCAAGACGACCCAAGAGGCCACCGAGACTGCCCCAAGACGGCTGACGAGGTCCCCAAGAGGACGGCCCAATGGGGGCTCCAAGGCAGCCCAACATGCGCCCACGACTGCCCGAGGGGGCCCCAAGACGGCCCCGAGACGGGCCTACGAAGGTGAACACGAACTAACAATTCGAGCCGTCCGCCCAAAGAGGCCCCCAGCAAGCCCCCTTGCATTGTCGAGCACTTGCCACCCAAGATGTTGTGCTGGCACGATTGCGGAATTGCCACGGGCAGCTGGATACTCCTCCCCCATCATCAGGCGGATAAGGATGACAGTGAGATGACGCTGCGGATGGAGGAGATAACTATGATGAGGATTTGATGAGGATTTAAACCGAAAGCAAAACATGTGGGAGAAGAAATGAAAGAGAAGGGGGTGATACGGAAGGTAGATGAGGAGGAGGCGGAGGAGGAGAAGGGGGGAGGAGGAATACACAAGAGGAATGAGACGATGCACAGAATAATGAAAGGAAGATGGTGTGGAAAGAAGCGGGGAAGTAATGGACAAGGATGGGCACGAAGGGGAGCATCATGATGAAGACAGTGTAATAAGAAGGGAGTTGGTAGTCAGGGAGGGAAGGATGGATTGATGTTAGGCGGGATGAGAATGATTGAAAACCAATGAAACTATGTGAAGTGATAAGGATGCATATGAGGAGGAGGTGGAAGAGCGAGAAGGAAATAGAGGGGTCTCCGCCGACGCGCGTCATTTTTTGAGCTGGAGCTTCAAACATAGCCCCATCGTGCTATACGCAATCGGAACAAGGGAGCTGCGTATGGTGGAGGAGGGGTGGATGAGCAGGAGGAAGAGAAGCAGGATGGGGAAGGCGGACGAAGACGATGAACAGCAGCAGCAGCAGGAGCTGGAGCGGAGTGAGCGGCAGGAGCAGGAGGACCAGGAGAAGGCGGAGGAGGGAAACTCAGGGAGCGAACACTATGAAGAATGAGCAGGAGGAAGAGGAGGACGACGAAGAAGGATGACGAGGAGGAACCGCCGCAGCAACAGGAGTCGGAGAACTGGGAGGAGCATGATGACCAGGGGAAGAAGGGGGAAAGGAAAGGAGCGGGCGTCAACGACGAGTGAGCACTCGGATTCAGACAAGTGGCCCGCGCTGAGGCGACAGCGCCATTCTAAACGACAGGAGCAAAACGTCGATCCGAAAATGAGGCCCGCGCTGCAGCGGGAACGATATTATGAAACCCCGGAATTAATCTGATTGTAAAGCGCCCTCAGAAGATCACCTTTGTTTCATCCTGTGCGTGAAGACAAGACGCGGGAAAGGCCGAGCATCGTCCGGACAGGGTCAGAGAAGAGAGGATTTGGAAAGGAAGAGGGAGCGGAGAGAAGGGATAGCTAAGGATGGATGAACATTGAGGAGGAGGACGCCGACGAGGAATGGAAGGCTAAATGAGGATTGCGAGGACGAGAAGTCGTTGGCCCTGACCCCTCGCCATCGGTCAAACTCGTGGGCCTAATCATCACCGCCAGCCCCCCTCTCTTCCTGTTTGTTAGCCTCCTCCTCCTCCTCCTCCTCCTCCCCTTCCTTCGCCTTGTCCCACCTCATGTTCCCCCCTCTTGTCCTCTTGCTCGTTCCTGTCCTCCTCCTCCTCCTCCTCCTCCTCCCACCTCCTCCTCCTCACTCACCATCATCGGCACCCTTCCCCGTCCTCCTCCTTCCCTCCCTGTTCGCCCCCTCCCGCTTCCCTCCTCATGCGATTCTCCTCCTCGTCATATTATTTTCCCTCTCCTTATCCTTCTCCTGCTCATCCTCATCCTCCCCCTCCCCTCTTCTTCCTCATCCTCCACCTCCTCATCAGTTAATCTTTTCCATACTATCTTCCTCCTGCTCCTCCTCCGCATCTTCTCCCTCCTCCTCCTCCTCCTCCTCCTCCTCCTCCTCCTCTTCCCTCTCCCGATGTGATTGATCATCATTTACCTCCTCTCATTCCTCCTCCCCCCTCCGTCAGCTCCTCACTGTCCCCATTCTGATCGCCAAGGGAATATCCAATGTTCATGCTGATGAGGAGGAAGAGGTCGCCCTCAATGGCGACAATGACGCGAGCGACGAAAGCCGCGAAGGCAACGGTCGACGACGGGGAAGGCTGTGACAGCAAGGATGAGGACGTCGACGACGGCGAAAAAACGCCAAGAGGTCGAACGATCAACGTGACAGTGTTAAACTCGACTCCCCACCAGTCTGCAGGACGACGTCGACGACAAAGAAAGGTACGACGTCGAGACAGCGACGAGGAGCCACCAACGACGACAATCAACGCGACCTCCCGTCCCCTACTGGGTCGCGTTCTGACCAAGGTGCCGAGGCGAACTCGGTCGAAAGATGACAGAAGGACGGGCGACGACGACACCGACGACCCCAACGACTGCGCGACTATGGCGACGACGACGAAGACGACGATGACTGCGGCGACAACGTTTGCGACGACCCCCGTGTCCTCGGTCCAACTCGCGGGCCGCATGGCCTTACCGAGAAGGCGAGCGTCCGCATCGCACCAATGTCTGCCGCGCCGGTGCCCGCAATGGCACGCTGGCGGGTGCGCGTAGACCTGGCAGCAAGTGGCCGCCGCCACCGTCGTCGCCGGGTAGGGAGGGAGGCGAGGAGGGACGGGGAAGGGGCAAGGAGGAGCGAGGACGAAGCGGGAAGGGGTGAGGAGTGATGAAGGAGCGGGAGGACAACGGCCACCACAATGACAACGAGGAGGATGAGAATGATGAGTGGGAGGGGAAGGATCGGGACTCACTGCTGAGGACAGCATGATGTGGAGGAAGCGACGGCAGGGGATGAAGAGGAGCAAACGGAGGATGAGGAAGACGACAAAGGCGGACAAGAGGGAAGGAGGAGGACAATGATGAAGATGGATGAAGATAAGAAGAGAAGATGGTGGGCGGGATGAGGAGGAGGAATACGGAAGAGGGGGAGGACGGGAAGGGGTACGACGATCACAAAAATAGTATAACGTTCAGGACCAATACTTTTTCCAACTAGGCCAACAACATCAACATGCTCTCAGCGCAGCTGCACCGGGGGCTACGTCGATTTCAAACTTTTGAAAGGCGATCGATGTTCTCTTTCTGGTGCAGTTGTCCTTGCACTCCTCCACAAGCCGATTGTAATCTTGCCGCCGAGCCTGCCACGAAGTATGACGTACAAGTGCAGCTAAGACGACGAGTAACGATCTGTCCACCGAAAAGCCATGACCGACTTGCTGCTCTGGCCCAGGCCGCGACGCGCGAATCGTGGCGATCTTCGCGCCTGTGGGGATGACCCCGGGAGGTTCCCATCGCTGCCAGGCGCCCCTCGGTGGCAACAAGTGCACCCGACGAGCTGGCCTGGCCGCAGGACCAGCGCATCAGGGCATGGGCCTCAGTCGGGCCTGTCCCCCGACAGGGGGATTGCTGCTCAAACAATGTTCAAACGATGCCCCAAAATCAAGAATACTCAAAAAATAGCCCCCGGACTATTTTTGGGCCATTTTTGAATATTCCCCCTGTAGAGGGACAGGCCCGACTTAAGCATGGGCGCAGCTCGCGAGAAAACTTCGGGCGGAGGCCGCACAGCAGCCACACGACTGCGGACCGCCGACACCTCGGCTGCCTCCCAGGCCTGGAGCCGCGCACTCCGACGGGGAGCCCGTGCGTGCCCAATAAGCGCCTGGCGTGGATGCCGCAGCCTGAAAGATACTTGGCCTCGGAGCTCCTCCGCGGTGCAATCGTGCATCATTGAAGGGGTCCTGGGATACACAAATAAATATACACAAATATCAGGATTCTCCATATTTCCCCATATCTTCTGGGTTTCTGTCCTCCCCCCCACTTCCCATACTTCCCTACCTAGGCTCTGCCTAGAAGGGTTCTTACTCTCTTAGCGTAGGCGCCAGCGAATGGCCGCATGCAGCCCAGCTCTCTCCCGGGCCCGCTCGGGTCTTCCAGACGAGCACCTCCTGGCCTAGATTGCGCGCGCGGGCGTAGCTGCGCAATTTGAGGATGCGAGCCGGCGACGACGCTCCCGACAACGCTTCGGCAGTGGTAGCTACAAACCCACTCTTGAGCACTTGCAGGATCAACCCGATTTCGACTTGCTCGCAGTGCCAACGCACCGCGGCCAGCAGCACATCGCACTCGAAGGGCCCATGACAAGGCGCGGTTCGCGGCCCCATGCGTCCTGCTCATCTTGCTGACAGGGCGGCGCAGCAACGCGTGCATCGCGGCGTCGGCGCGGCCACAGCCAACTAACACCTTTCGGCGAGAGACAACGGACCGAGACACCGAACCGCAGGCCTGCACCAGACGAGGACACCGATACATCGAGAGGAACATCCACATCGATCTCATGGAACATTCTAGCTCGCGCGCCTCCGTCACAGACCTCGCAACTACGATGCGCCCCTAGCATCTAAACAAATTGAGAAATGCGCCGACAGGGTATCCCCCCACCGCCGTCGCCACCTCAGCCCCCGCATTGCGATCGAAGGCAGCGTCCGAGGAGCTCGCTCCAGGGCCGCGGCCCCGAAAGGCCTTTCGGCGGTGCGATCGCCCCCGCGACTGCGAGCCTGCATTCCTAAGCCTGCCCCGCGAGCGAGACAGCGAGTTGACTTGCGCAATGAGACGGCGCCGGCCTGCCGGCTTGCCAAGCCGAACCAAGCGGGTCTGACTGCGATCTAGCGGCCGCGAGTGCACAGCGACTTCGGGCTGAACGCGGGCTGGTCCAGCGCCGTCATTGTCGGGAACGTGACAGTCGCTGACTTGATGTTGCTCACTGAGAAAAGTGGCAAGTTGCCCCGCGAGTCCGCGCCGCGCGGTAGCCGCGCCTCCGCGCGCTGGTGCGCGCCCCAACTCTTCCCCCAATCGCCGGGGCGGCCATCAGCTCGTTGAGCGGGTTGCGGCCTCGCAGTGTCAGCAGCCATCTCTCGGAGCCCCTTGAGCCGAGAAAACCGATGGACCCCGCCGGCACCGCGTAGAAAGGACTTCTCTGCCCAAGCAATCCAATCGGCAGGGCGGGGCCAGTGGACCCTGCAATCCTGCATCTCGGTGCTCGCGTAATCTATTCAGGCTTGGGCCGCGCTGTCCAAATTGAGTCGATGGCGCGCGCGGCGCGTCGGTCGCGAACGCGCCAGCGCCAGCCACGACCCGCTCAAGCGCCCGCGTCGTCCTTGGCGCCCCGCGCGAGAAGCCGCGGAGGGAGCGCGGCCGCGTGGGCGCGGCCGCGAGATTAGCTTCGAAGTTCCCGTCGCGGGGGCCGGCCACCTGCGACGGCGACTTCGTCGGAGCAGACTTCGCGCGGCGTAGCCAGCGAGACGACGTCTTCCCGGCACTGAGGTCCGTCGGCTCACTGCGCCGTGGCACCGCGGCAGCTTTCCACCCATATCGAGGCAGGCCAGCGCGCCCGAGGTAATTTGCGTGGGCGGAAGCCTCGAGGGCATCGTCCCCGTCGAGCACGGCCCCCAAACCGACCGGCACATAATCCCAACAGATCACCGGGTCATCTGGCAGGGGGCGCCGTCGCACATGGATCGCATCGCGCGGCGCTCGCGAACGGGACCTCCCGAAACCGACGGGCGGAATGATCGGAGGGGCTCGGGGTTCCACTGGGGTCCTGCAGCACATGCCCCATGGCTGGGTGATGAACGCCATCTCGACAGGGCGACGCGGAAACGGGTCGGTCCCCATGTGGGCGTCTGCGGAGCCCGGCAACGCCAGCAGGCTCTCGGGCACGTGGAAGAAATCCCTGGTCGCGCCTGGGGCAGAGCAGATACGCGCCGGCAAGACAGCAGCAACCCTAATCCCCTTCGCGCCGCGTGGAACCACGCGTCCAGCTCGTCAGCGTCCGTGCTCCAGTCGCCTCCGATGACCCAGTGATCAGGATATTGAGCTGGCGCAGGCGCGCCGCTGCATTCTGGGGGATGCTGATGTTCTCGCCCTACAAGCCCACATCGACGACCACGCGAGCAGACAGCATCACGTTGCCATTGGGGCAGCCCAAATGCACCTTCGCTGCTGCAGCTCATCCAGCGCGCACTTCCTGCGCAATGCACGTGGGAGGGGCTGAGTCAGAACCGCCCATGACCGCGGCCCAGACACCCCCCGAACCCATGAGACGAGCTTTTGCTTGGACGTCCGCGAGCGTGTCTCCAACTGCGTGGTGTTCTTGGACCATCGGGATGGATTTGCCCTACTGAGCTGCGCCTAGTAGGTCGAGCAGGGTGCCGCCCTGACTCCCCAGCGAGGGGAAGTGGGCGCCTGCGTAGCACGCGCCCCACTCACCCCTCCCCCGACGCATCGGCAAAACGTCTGGGCGAGACTCCGCCCCAATCATGGGCGGAAGGCGCAGACTGCTGGACAGACCCAGTCCATGGAGATTCGCAGTCTGGCAGCCTGCCATTGAAGGCGCCTGCTGAGACTGGCGCTGGCGCAGTCACGAGCACGAGACTGAAACTATAGAAATAACTAAACTTCTGTTCTTACCTTCACCTGGCACGTGCCCAGAGCACCCTCCGGCCTCTTGACGGCCGCGCGGAAGTGAGCTTCGTCCGCGGGCGGGTCGCCGCCGACAGCCTCCTTCCAGAAAGCGCGTAGATCAGGTAGATTATAATTGTCAGCAGGCTGAACGCGTGGCTGGGCCACTGGTTCTGGCACAGCACGCTCGCTACCTGCAGGCGGAGGCTGCTTGGGCGACTGACGCGGCTGGGCTGCGCCCGCAGCTGCTGGGGCAGCAGCGGTGGTTGAGGCAGCACCTCCTGCAGCGCGCTCAGCAGCGGAGCGCTCTGCAGCTTGACGCTTCAGTCTGCGCAGCTCCTCGAAGTTCTCGGCCGCGCTCTTGGGCAGGCCGCCGACGGCGCCGAGCCCAGAAGGGAGCTTGCCTTTGGCGCCCGCGTCTATGTCAATGCACGGGGTCGCCGCACGCAGCGGGTGGACTCCAGACTCTGGCTGAGGCGCATGTGCGGACACCATGCGCCGAACTGCCTCTGCCTCCAGGAGCTCCATGGCGGCGACCACGGCGACTTCACCATTCTCGACCTGCTTCTGAATCTCCGCCAGATTTCTCCTTGAACTTGGTGACGACAGCCTGCTGGCGTTCCTTCTTCTCAAGCGCGGAGCACCGGTTGGTGAGCAGGTGGAGCTTGGCCCCGATTAGCTTGTCGGCCAGCACCTTGGCGCGGAACGTGGACTGCTACTGGGCCGTCTCCTGATTGTGACGTGCCAGCGCAGGCTCCTTGGGGTTCCCGATGGTCTGGATCGCCGCGGTGAGCTCAGCCAGCGCCTCCTGGACATCTGGCTCGACCTCGTCCGCGTCCATGTCGTCGACCCCTTGCTTCGCTGCCAGCAGCTCCTTGAGCTTGGCAATCTCTCGGTTCTTCTCCTGGAGGGCGGACTTGGTGCGTAGCGCGCTCCACCTCCGCGGCAGCCTTGCGCTCAAACCCGACCTTTTGCTTGGCTGAAGCCGACGGGCGCTTCCTGCTGGCTGGCCGAGACCCGCACTCGTTCCTGTCTGCATGGTGCCACCAACGCTCGCCAGACTTGGGATGGGCGCGCCACTTGCAGAGCCACTGCTGCGCATTCTGCAAGCACTGCTTCTGGAAACCATTGGCTGTCGTGCATGCGGCCCCGCCGCTCCCCGTCGTGCGCAAAATTGGTTCGTGCCCGCGCCCCGTTTCGAAATACGCGGACACAAACTCGAACTTCACAACAATTAGCTCGAGCCGAAACGGCTACGTCAGGACACGACCGCCAGGAAGCCTCCGGGGTGGCGACCCTCTTGTTCCCCCTGCGCGGCATCACGCAACCCACACGCACACACACACACACACGCACACACACACACACACACACACACACACGCACGCACGCACGCACGCACGCACGCACGCACGCACGCACGCACGCCCGCACGCACGCACGCACGCACGCACGCACGCATTCACACACACACACACACACACACACACACGGGGGGGACAGTGCGAGCCACCCCGGGGCGGGAAACGCACGGCCCTGGACAGCCACGGCAGAACCATAACCCGAGCACGACGACAGCGAGACGACGACGACAACGGCGAGGACGACGACAACGATAACGAGACGAACACGACACGACGACGACGACGACGACGAGGGGACCACGATGACGACGACGAAGATGACGAGGACGAGGACGACGAAGACGACGAGGACGACGAGACGACGACGACGACGACGACGACGACGACGAGACTTCCACTTCAGCCCCAGCGAGGGCGACGCTCATGAAAACGGCGCGACCACAGGCCGGCGTCGGCGGCGGGACGCGGCGAGGCCCCCCGCCCAGGAGCACCCCCCCCCGCGCGGGCGACCGAGGGCGCGGACGGCCACGAGGGCGAGTAGCACTCGCAGCCGCACGGGAGGAGCTCGCCGGCGGTCGTCCTCACCTG